GCCACGTCTGTCTTCGAGATCTGCATGTTTTTCAAGCTCCCGCCATTGTTGTCTGCATGTTTTTGAGACTCTCGCCATTGTTGCATGCGTCGGTGTGCTTCTCGCAAACACTCATGCTGTGCACGTCTCTGTGACGCATAATTGAACCACCACTTTGCACGCTGCTTTCGACCCCCGCCCAATTCGCGGCCCGGGGTGCCCACGCAGTGGGTGCCCCTTACTCGGAATCGTGGATGGTCTGTAGAGCCGCAGCTGCCGTGTAACCAGACATATGGGTTCCCTACCCCGACGACTGATGATGCACAACAGCGACCTGGAGGACTCTGAGGACGAGATGGAGGCGCCCAAGCCGAAGAAGCAGCCCAAGGCCAAGCCCAAGGGGAAGGCGGGCGGCAAGCCGGCAGCGGCGGCAGGCAAGGGCAAAGAGAAGAATGACAAGAAGGCACCAGCCGGCGCCAAGGGGGGCCGTCCCCCCAAGAAAAAGCAGGACGCTGCGAAGAAGCGCAAGAAGGACTCAAGCAGCGACTTTGAGGACAGCGGCAGCGACCTGCCGGACTCTGATGAAGAGGAGGACTCTGAGGACGAGAGGAGGCCAGCCAAGCAGAAGAAGCAGGCCAAGGCGAAACCCAAGGGGAAGAGGCGCAAGAAGGACGTCGACTCCAGTGACGACAGCAGTCTGTACGATCAACATTGGCTAGTCTCCAAAATGTTATCCAGGTCGGTCCACCTCACGCACGCCACACCACATAACCTCACGATATCTATCACTGTCTTGGTGTGAGGTGTAGGTGGTGGTATATGACGCCCGACTGGCCGCCCGAGGATTTCGACTACGACGGCGTTCTGCGGAAGCTGAAGCTGCGTCGCGTGGAGGTCGACGAGTGGGAGAACGCAGAGGACTGCGAGGAGGGATACACCAAAGTCTACGAAATCAAACACTACAGAGGTGAGTGGGTGAGGTAACGCTCACTCAAACACCTTTGTCCTGCCCTTGTCAGTCTCACCGCGTTTGAGTTTGTCGCCCTTCGTCTTGATCTGTGGGTTAGCGCCCTTCTTGGCAACATGAACAGAGACACACACCAGCAGATCCACATCCACGCTGTCTTCTGTGTGGTGCCTTGCAGCCGGCCGATCAAATCCCATCGCAAACTGACTATCGTGACACTCATGTGAGAACACAAAATAGCAGCAGAGTGACCATACGAGCGAAAGGAGAAGTGCGTTTCACTCCGACACAAAGTCGGTTTCTAATGAGAACGAATTCTTTTTTGTGTGTGCGTGTTGCCTTGCCTCTTCTGTGCTCACTCCTCGAAGAGTGTGCTCAGAATGCATCTGTGGATGAGCGCCCACGTGACAGACAGAGACACGACTCCCAAGTAATTGATCACATGGTGTTGTTTGCTCCAGTTATCTGCTTCTGCATCACCGCGCACCAGGCCCAACATTATTTAACGTTCGTAGAACCCGCTCATCCGTCCTCCCCCAGGAGCTACTAAACTCTCATGCACATTCGCTTATGAAACGAAAGGAGAGAGGCCATCGACTGAAAAGGAAGGAGCTGGCTGAGACGAACATTGGCAGGACCTGTACAGGTCTGTGAATATAATAGTGTCGAGCCCTCCGAGTAACGGAAACAAGGAAATGGTGATTTACCGTACCCGACAAACAAGAACACACAGACACAGTGACAGTCACACAATTTTTTGCTGACATTGTCACCGCGACCGCTCGCTATGTCTCGGAAAAGAGGGAAGAAGAATAAACGAGATCCATGTGAAAAGAGCTGAAGTACCTGTCGGCAAATCTCCATGTCTCAGAAGCCTCGACTGACCTTCGCTGTGTGTGTGTGTGTGTATAGCGACAGTACAGAGAAGATGAGGGTCATTTGGAGGACATAACGCCGCTTCCTCATGACAGTCGTCGATGTCAGAGCGACTTGGCGAAAGACCCTGCACGCACACACGAACGTAGACGCTGTTACTATCATCGCCGTCCAGTTGATCGGAACGCTGACGGTACAGCATCTTTCGCGCATGGTATTGGTATTTGCCGAGATCTAGACGACGTACAGGTGTGCGAATCCATGCAAGGCACTCCCTCCCTCCCGGCGGCAATTGGCACTTGGTGATTAAGCAAACCAACCATCCGTCCCTCATCCAGTATGTGCCTATAGGCACAACCAGGTCTTACGCAACAAGCCCACTGTCCTGTCTGCTTATCAATGGATGTCTCTAAGCGTTCTCTGCTTTTCCTTGTGCCTGAGCTGCGTCCTGGTACGGGGCAGCCTCATGTGAAGCTTCAGAACGGCAGTCGCGGCAAAGTCGTCCGGTAGTGGGGGCAGCTTCTGCGTCCCCTTGCGCATCTCCTCGCAAATCGATAAGACGCTCAGAGACGACCAGAAATCCTTGTTGTATCTCATATGCGCCACGCACTCACGCATCTGTATCGACACCATCCATACCCACGGATGTGTACATATTTTAACTTTTTTTGCCAGGAATGTCACCTGCGGAATAATCTCGCTCATCGCATTGTACAGCGGGGCTATGATGACATCGATGAAGCCACACTGAGACCGCGCGATGTTTGTTGTCTCTCTATGTGGAAAAATCAAAGAGCCAACAGCGAGATCATCGGGAATCCCCTCTGACTCTCATCATCTTTCCCTTTGCTCTCACCGGTTCATCAGCGGCGAGATTGGCAGACCGAAAGCCTTTTCCCTATCACCTACATCAGCAAGACACTCTCCATCTGGTCAACCCACAATGTCATGAACAGCGGGCGGTTTTGAACCTTACCTTGTGCAAAGAACTCTTGTATCACTACCCGATTCACATCCGATTCACATCCGATTCACATCAAACCCGCTGGTCTCTTTCTCTCTGGCTTACCTTTGTCTGTCCACTGCAAGTACAGCGGCAGCGGCCGGCAGGGATTGGAGACATCAGCAGCGTGCACCACCATGCTCATGATCAGCAAGCGGTCCTCGCGGCTGAGCTCTTGCTTGAGCCACTCTGCCATACGGCGTTTCAACGGTAAGAATGAGGAGAAAAAGCTGCTGATGTGTAGATGCCCATTCTTAGTGGAATGATGTGCTGGGCCCCTTCGGGTCTAAGCCCTCCTTCTCCTAAGCCCTCCTTGTCTCTAGGCCCACCTTCGTCCTTAGTCTTCAGCAGTCCGAGTTTCACAAAATGCTGCGACATGTCCGTAGCCAGCACCATATGGATGATCGCCTCGCGCACTAAAGCATCCAGCAAAGAAGAATACATATGTGTAGCACACAGGGCGTATAATGCATATAGGCCACAGTCCGCACCTATGGAGTATGTTGCCGCTGGCGTGTGCTTGAAAATGTTGTACTTAGACTGTTGCATGAGCTGAAAGACTGCGGCGATATGGTGGCTCTCTAGCACGGCCTTGTCTGTCGCGCAAAGGAGACATGATTCATGTGCATACCACACGCATTTTTCAGCATACCATGTAGAGGATCGCGAGCGGGTCATTGGTCTTGATAAGGAAATTGTTGCTTACTCCAGGATGATCTGAACACCCACCGTTAACACACAGACAGCGCGCATGCACAGGAGCATCGTATGTCGTGCCATTGCTACCGTAGTCGTGTATGGCCGCCGAGAAGATCACGGTGAAGAGTTCAACCTAAGGTATACGGCAGAAAACGAGCACGCCAAGGTAACAGTGCAGACGACGAGAGGCGGCTTGGCAAAAATGTATTGAATACATTCGTGAAGCCCTTCAATGATAGCGACCAGAGTTCGCCCACTGCACGGGACAAAGACAGTCTTCATGCAGCCGTTTCTCTTTGCGTCTCCTACCTTTGCAAAACCAATAAGCTCCGTGAACAACCTGCGAAGATAAAAAGTGGTAGCCTCGTCCATTGGCGAAGGGCGCTGCCAGAGATGCAATGTGCGGCGCTGCGACTTACGTCAGCGGCATGCAGGCGCATGTGATAGGGATTGTCTTGATGATATCCCTTCTGCACTGCAAAGAGTAGCTCATCCCACTTTTTGCAGTCAATACATAATTCCTGAGCAGGCCAGCTCATAATTATGACTGCCTGTCTCTTGTCGAGGCAGACCTCGAGTGCAAAGGAAGATTGCGCCACAAAGTTGGTGAGCAGCCGCAGACAGTTGCCTCTGACTCGAAAGCAGCCAGGTCACCTTTGAATGAACCACTGTGTGTGCATTCTGACGTCATACCCCGATAGCCTGTCGCATTCGAATACGTCGAATTCCCAATCATCGACTCCCGACAGAATGGTGTCGTTGACTGCCGATTCGGTCATGCACGACAGAATGCTCCTCGCACTGTCCCCTGACACACGGAGGGTCGTTCAACTTTGCATCCACTGATGTCTCTGCTCGCTTTCTTACTGGCGGATCGCTTCTGTCCGTCTCTGTCGTTTTGCACCTGCGTCTTCGATTTTCTGCGATACAAATACAGAAGAAGATTCACGTGTTTGGCGAGGCAACGTGAGTGAGGTAGTAACCGCGCCGATGCATGGTGCCCCAGTGCTTGTGAGGTGGTGTCGACAAGTAGACGAGGTCTGCACCCAGGCAGAGGCTGCATGCACACAGCGCACATACGAGAGAATATTGTTGCTTGACACTCGAGGACTTACCTGCACTGTTCTCATCGAGCCTGTCCTCATCGAGTATTGGCTGACATAGCCGATAGGTGAGACACAGACACGTGGCAGACATTCATGCTGCACTACGGGTGCTTTCTCACATCATAGAGCCGGCCTGATGCGAGTATGCGTATGGCAAGATTGACATCATTGGGGAGACGATGACTCAACCGATACTCACCCTATACCAAGGAGGATCGAGAGAATCCGATGTCAACGAAGCCATGATCTCTCTTATACATCCCCCGGCCGACCTTGACTTTGCGGAGTGTCTTAAGGACCTTCTCCAAAGGCGCTTCGTAGCACACGCCGCCTTGCTTCTTCTTTGCTAGCCCCAATGCAAATTCCTCTTGAAACTGAAAGAACGAGAACACATTTCACACACACACACACACACACACATGAGCATTTGTCACATACGCGTGTTGAGCATACCTGGTTGTATACATGAAGGAGACGAAATATACGCAGCACTCCTCTCATTCCTGAAAATGAACAGCGGCCATAAGACATATCCGTGTATGTCTCCATGCAACCCAGTGAGAGAGTGGCGGTACGTACGGGCAATGCGGTCCACTAGGTCGTCCTCTACACATGGACAGACATCTCAATGTGTAGACAATAAGTCAATACAATCCGTCTCACCTACCCACCTATCGTGAGCGAGCCCAAGGAGAGGAAGAAGGCCAAAAGAACACACAGGATATCCACAGCATTCAGCGGCTCCAGGAAATAAAACCGGCCGAAGGCAAAGGCCTTTAGGCTGACTTTCAGGATGAAGATGCAACACAGTGTGAGGTCAATGACATCGAGGGCATGCATCTGCTGCGACGTGACGACATCGAAGACCACCAGCTGGACGAATGTGAGAGATATATAGTTGAAGACCATGATAATGATGACCTCTGCGCAGCGGATCAAGACGGCGAGAGGCAGTTGTCCCTTCGCTCCTTACTTGCCCTCTTACTTTCACAGACAGGGTGGTCGATCACCCATCCGATGTTGGCCCTCAACGTTTCGTACCTCCCTCTTGGCCTCTCGTCTTCTGAATCACTGGTACGTGGGGGCTGCACAGTGACAGAAGACGTGAGGGCTGAGGATGGGGCTGGCGGCACTGGCCCCAGAGGGGGATGCATTACCATCTTCTCTTCAAACACTCAGAAGATGGACCACTTTGCAGGAGAAGTGGGGGTCTCGCAATTCTGAGAGGCGCACTTGCTTCCTTGAGAATCACTGGTGCGTGGGGGTGCGGGAGGGCTGAGGATGGGGCTGAGGATGTCAGTGGTGAAGTTCCCCGTCGCGAAATGCAAGCCACGAAGCTCTCATGGAAGCCAGAAAGGCGTACCGAATGAAAAAGTCTCGACTCTGCGATCCTCTAGTCCGTTTTGTAGCGAGGTGCGTGTCGAGCTGGTGTGTGTCGAGAGGACACATATACCACGACACACAGGTTTCTGGATCGATGGATGGATGGATGTATAGGTATTGCATTGCATACGGATGTTGTGTCCATAAAGGTCGTTTCCAGGTCGTTTCCACCATGAGCACCGACACACACGCAATACCGTCGGTCCGTCCGTCCTAGAGCCAACTACCCCCGGCAAAGCACAGCAGAGGAACGTCATCCAGCCATCAATCCATCCTAGACCCACAAGACGGACAGACAGACAGAACAATCAATCAACCAACCAACCAGCCGGCCAGCCAGACAACCAACGTCATACAAATAGCACCTAGTTCCATCCATCCATCAGCCGCGTCAAGAGTGAGCCAGGACAAAACAAAACCACTCAGAGAGAAAGAGAGAGAGAAAGCTACGCGTGCATCGGTTGTGCGTAGGACAAGCACTGCTGCCCCTTTGCTACGTAAAGGAGGAGGGATGTTGTCGAAACACGGAAAACATATCCCCGTCCCCCGTCCCTCCCTCCCTCCCTCCCCTGTGCCAGCCATCTTCGTCAGGTCAGCCAGACCGACGGCAATGGACACCTAGCTATCGATGTATAGATGTGTGTCTATCTATCTAATTGGCCCCTTGCCTCTCCCCTCCCCCCTCTCTCTGCTCTTCCCCCTCCCCTTCGGCGTCGTCTTCTTGGCCATCGTCACCGTCACGCAGCGGCGACAGATCGCAGCTGCTCATGGCCGCCAAGGGGCACGGGCGCAAAGGGGGGCTGAACGACGGAGGGGGCGGGATCGACACCGCTGCGAGATCATGACCATGATCATGATCCTGCTGCTGATGTCCCTGCTGGGGGGAAGAGGTGTCCTCCCCGCCGTCTTGGCGTGAGTCCGTGTCGACGGCATCGTCGTGGGACTCTTCTTCTTGCTCGTCCGCGTATCTATGTGGTTCGGAGCAGTCGAAGAAGGGGTGGAAGCAGCGGGACGGCAGGAGGGGCCCGGGGCTGGCCGGCGGGGTGGGCACGCGGGGGTCGGGGCTCAGGAAGGACGGCACCGGGCTCGCGTCATGGGCAGGGATCTGCACCCGATCCCACTCCATGTGACGACGCAGCAACCGCGGGCCCTTATCCCTCTCCCCCTCCCTCCCCGGCTGGTCGGTCTGCTCATCGAAGAATGCGGCCAGTGTGCTGTGGTCGAATCGTCGAGCGGGTTGGTAGAGGGGCATGGGTTGGTCGGGTGGCGGCGGGGGCGGGGGGAGGTTGGCGGGGTCGGGCTTGTGCAGCCGACGGGTGCGGTCGACGATGTGAAGGTTCCTCACCACGTTGTCGCGCCACTTGATGCGGGTCCACGAGTAGACCTGCACGCGGCAGTTGGGGCACGTTATGGGCGTCCGCTGCCGGGCCCAATTCAACATGCACTGCACACACACATCACATCCACAGACAGAGATACCCATCCAGCCATCTGTGTGTGGCTGTGTGTGGCTGTGTGGGCGGTTGGCTGGGCTGCTTGCCTTGTGGTGGAAGAGGTGTCCGCATGCGAGTCGTATGACGCGTTGCGAGGGCTGCTGGTTGAGCCGATGCAGGCAGATGGTGCACTCCTTGCGCGAACACTTGGACAACACGTGGTTCTGACTGCACACACACAACACAACACGACGCAACAGACAGACACAGGGAGACAATCCATCCCACCATTTCACATACATCATTTTACCCCGGCCCAGCCCAGCCCCAACCAAGCGCACCGTTCGTTGCATCTGAGAGTGTTCCATGGCGCAGCAGACGCCATACAGCCACTGCTCGAACCGCTGCCCAAACTCGGTCCGGAAAAAGGCGTTGAGCGCATGCTCCCACCACGACGTGTTGCTCCCGCCCGTCGTCGCCACCGCACCTCCTCCATCTGCCTCTGCCTCAGCATCTCCATCGCTCGGCGACTGGGCGTCCTCCAAGTCCCCCACCTCGTCGAGCAGGCCGGGGCCGTCGTAGCCGTCGAGGTAGTCGGCCTCCATGAGCTGGAGACCAGCAGCAGCTGGTGCTCGTCCGCCTCGGTCTCTCCTCCATTGCTGCCAGAAATGGCCGAGCCGCCCTGGAACTGCTGGGTGGACGTGGCTGTCGACTCGGTGGCGCCAAAGGATGACGATGACCCGTCGGCCAACCCATCTACCGAAGCCTCATCCATCGCTGCTGCTACTTGTAGGTAGAGTGCTGGACGGCTGCTCTTGCGTTCGCTTCCTTTCAGGCCGTCGAACGCTGGTCTACTCGTCTACGCCGTGCTGCCCTTTTATCGTTCAGCTCCTCTTGAGTACTGTTTCACGCCGATTTGCCCGAAAAAGTTGCGGGGTTTGCATGCCATGCATCACGATGTAGCGCATTGCAACTCATCCATCATACTTTGTCCTTCGACATAAACTCCCATCGGGAGGACATACATGCACATGAGCAATAGCGTCGGGCACGCACCACGCACAGGGCAGGTCGCGAGAGGTCGCCTCGCATGCATTTGCATCGGGCGACAGGCAGCAGATCGTTTGCACATCCACACAGACATGAATGCTCATCAAAATCGTATGCACATGATGCATACAGGCGAGTGGGCAGTCAGTCAAAACGCCCCAAAATCTCGCACAGATAAAAAGCAATAGAGACAGCACAGGCACCTGGCACGTTCATGTCATGAGTATGGGTGTTGTGTCATTGTTAACCTTCCTGCCTAGGATGCCCAGATGGTCGTGACCATAGTGAAGTCAGCGCCCACACACAAAAGGGCATACACATGATACGTACGCCTGTATTTATGTATATATATGTACACGCACATAAAACGCATGTACACACCCCGCACCCTATCTACAGCCAGCTGCCTTCCTTCCTCGCAGCCATCTGTACAGCACTCCAGACCTCGCCGAACCACCGGCCGTCGGACCCCACGGCCATCCTCCCCATCACCTCCCGCACCGATGAGGCTGTCGGCCTCACCCGAGCCAGCACCCTCTCCATGCCCTCGCTCACCCACCCTCTCAGCTGACCACGGACGATGTCGACCCCTGCCCAGGAGGGCAATCGCGCAGCTTCGCGTGTCTTCTCGTCCGCACCTGGATCTGCCCTCGGCTGCTGCATGAGGCTAAGACGCGACTCAGGGTACGTCTGGCAGGCGTCGATCATCCTCTCCAGAGACTTAGGCAGGACGAACGATGCGCCCCACCGTCTGATTATGGAAGGTACGCCCTGGGTTTGGCCCTCTACGTAGAATGACGAGAAGCTGCTGCTGCGGGATGGGTGGTCTGGGTCGGGAGTGATGGCGATGACGTTCATGTACTCGGATACGCGCGTGACGCCATCCTTCGGAGGCTTCACGTCACTGGCGTCCGGAGATGCTGACGGATCGACAGAGAAGCGCCAGGTGGTAAGGCTTGTCGCGGCGTTGTTTGCTGCATACCTACCTACCTACCTTGGTTGACGACCAGGAAGGTCTCACTGTTGTGGTGTGGCCCCTTGACACGCACACACCGCTGCGTGTAGACATAATCACGGTCCTGCACAGAACAATCGCACCAACGGCAAGTGATTGTAGTCTGTGCCGTTCGTGCGACGGCAAGACACACCGGCCCTCATGCTCATGTGTCTGACATTGAATGGTCCAGGGAAGGGCATCCGCCAGTACACGACCTTCTCCCCACTGGAGGGCAGAGTGAACGTCTGCACAACACAACAAAAATCGCAGAACAATTATGAGCAAGATGCTTCTGTTTGATGTGATATGATAAACCAGTGATTGACCTCGAGCTGTGCGGCGTTTCGGTCCCATGTCTTGCGATGGTCAGAATCACAGTTGACCGCCCAAAGCACTTCTGGCGGTGAAGCGATGGTCCCTTTGGCGAACACCTCCACCCTCCCGGCGGCATCATCGCTGCCTTCGAACACCTCAACAGCGCTGCTGTCAGGCCGGCGCAACGACGTCAGCTTCCGATGCGACTCAGCTGGCAGCCGCTTCAGGAGCTCAGCGTACTTGGCGTCATCAGCTACGGCGACAGAAGAGGTCACGGACGGCATGCCAGAATCGTATATCGGGGACAGGAAGAGAGCGGAGCGTCGCGGACAAGGAGGAAGGAGCCGTGTGTGGGGATATAGGAGGGAACGGCGTTCTTCCCCCTTCCCCGCAGAACTGCGCTGGCAAATTCTTGAGCTCGCAGGCATATCCGGGGAGTGTTGCTGAATCCGTTAGAGGCGAGTTGATCAGATGGCTGTGAACGTCGGCGGCCTTCTTGTTGGCGCCTTGAGTGCAGTGTAAGTCGAAAAGAGAGCAACGCCGACATCCATGGGCATCAAGGTCATCGTGCTGTGGATGTTTCTGGCTTGAAACGCTGCAGATTCAATGGATCCTTTGCTGCCGTCATGAAGTAACTAGGCGCTGGCTGCACTGCATTCATCGACGGGGGGACTCATCTGTGCGTGCTTGGCTCTGATGCTGCCTGTCTGCCTGGCTGTGTGTGTGTGTGTGTGTGTTTCTGGCTGTCTTACATTCGCAGGTTCGTCCGTGTGCAGCTGGACGAGATGGTACGATCCACCAACGGAGGAAATGTCATTCATTCGCAGCTGCATTGGCAATGCCCGTTGTCTGGCCGACCTTCCAGGTGTTCATGACGTACTGCTGCCTCGGCGTGGCGCTCAGCTCCATCATTGCACTGCTGTTCCTGCCCCTCAACGACACGATTGCGGGTGCGGGAGTGGGTACCAGCCTCGCCTTCACCTCGTATGGGTTGGCTGCCGGCGCCTTGCTCGTCGGTGCGTTCACCTTCTCCTTCCTAGCTGGTAGGTACGAACCAACCAACCAACCAACCAACGAACGGACAGACAGACAGACAGACAGACAGACAGGCGGCCTCACCCCATTAGCGAAGAAGCGCAGCGCGTGAGTCGTTCGTTCTCTATCGTGCTGGCTGTGCCTGTCTGTCTGTGTCATTCATAAATTTCAGTCGCGAAGGCGGGTGTGTCGATAGGTCAGGGTGTATGGTGCGGGACGGCCATCATCGTGTCTTACCTATGGGGCACTCTGGCATTCGGCGACGTCATTACCAATGTGCCCCTCAACCTCATTGGCTTGGTTCTCCTTCTCGTCGGCTCCACGGGCATCGCTTTCTGCCAGGAGCTGCCCAGATTGATGGCGCAGACATTCACCACCAGCGGCACCACTGCTGGCAGCGGCGCCAACGAGCAGCAGATGCGGCAAGAGGACTCCAACCAGCGGGAGCCCCTGACACGCGACACAGATGACGCAGACAGGGGGCGGCCATCGTCCCCTCATCATTCGTCAAGCAAGCTGGTGGGGCTGGGTGTGTCGGTCCTCACTGGGGTGTTCGGCGGTTCCATCCTGGTGCCCAAGCACTACGTCCCCAAGAGTGCCGACGGGATTGCCTTTCTGCCGTCATTTGCCGTGGGTGTGGTGGCCTTCATGGTGCTAGTCATGGGCGTCTATGTGACGGTCATCACCAAGCGGCGTGTGCAGTGGCATGTGCAGGCGGCGCTGCTGCCCGGCCTCATTAGTGGCTGCCTGTGGAACCTCGGCAACATCTGCTCGATAGCGGCCATCCCAAGGCTGGGCTACTCGGTGGCCTATCCCTTGCTGCAATGCGCCCTGCTTATCTCTGGGTCAGTCAGAGTGCGTTGGTGAAGAAAAACGATGCGCAGCATAGAATGGGCATGGTGTGCTTGTCTTCTTCTCGACTCGACAGGCTGCTGGGCATTGTGGTGTTTCGCGAGGTGCGGCAGCCGGCGGCCGTGAGCTGCTTCTGGGGCTCAAGCATTGTGCTCATCTTGGGCGCCGTGCTGCTGTCACTCTCCAGCCATCCCAAGTAGCTAGCTGCGATATGAACAGACATGAAGATAGACAGACATACAGACAGGCGGAGATAGTAGACAGAGGGAGATAGAGGCAGATAGAGGGAGACAGAGGGAGAGGAGGGGAGCGGTTGGTAAAGAGATGGATACTTTCTGCGGTAGCTAGCCTAAGCGCACAGAGGGCTGTGAAGACAAATGTGATGTAATGTGAGGAAGGAAGAGAAGGGCAGCCATGCTATCTGATATCGATGTGTGTGATGTGTATGTGTATGTGTGTGTGTGTGACGGTGTGTCTTCTTTTATACGTCTGTACAGCCCCCCGAGTACCCATGCGTAGCATGGGACGCTCGGTCCCTGCGTCAATCGCTCAATGCTCGTGTTCTCGGTGTCAGTCAATCAAATCCCTAGCTACTCACTGACATACCATCGCTGCAGCTGACCGGCGAGCAGCACGCAGCGGTCGCATTCTCCATCTGATAGTATCACAAGTCTGTCGCAGGGAATCCAGATCCAGCCCTAGCCATGGCGAGGCTCCCTTCTTAGCCACAGGCTCGCAGGCCTCTCGCGTTCGCGACGTTCGCGTCAAAAATGGCGGACAGCAGGAGGGGAATAAGCTCTCCTCGGTCATCTCCCTTCCAGTTCCAGCCTCCAGTCGACCCTCAAGACGATGAACAGATGCCGCCAGCCGCCGAATACGAAGGAGATGGTGCGTCTGGACGTGCGCAGACAGACAGTGGCAGCAAGCCAGCCAAGAAGCGACGAGTGAGGGAGAGTACGGACAACAACGGCGGCGTGCCGGACTATCCCAGCGGCTCGGGCAACTGTGTGCCGTCTTCACAGCAGCAGCAGCAGTTCTACCTGACAGCAGCGCAGAAGATCGACCTGCACACGCGCAACTACGTCGCCGAGTCTGAGGGCAAGGCGTACGAGAACGGGCTGGTGATCCTCACGCGCAAGTTCTTCGCCCTCTTGGAGATGTGCCCGGGACAGACGGTGGACCTCAACACGGCCGAGCATGCACTCGATGTGCAGCGTCGCCGCCTGTACGACATCGTCAATGTGCTCGAGGGCATCGGCATCATCGAAAGGGTCGGCAGACACTCATTCAGATGCGCGTAAGCAAGCAAACAGAGAAGCAGACAGACAAGGACGGGAGGAGGCCAGTGAGAACGGCATTCCATCGTGTGTCATATCTATGTCTGTGTGTGTGTCTGTCTTTCTTCCCTGGCTGGCTGCAGTAGGCGTCTTCCCTCTCTGTTGTCGTGCGGTGCCCAGATGGAGTCTGAGCTGGCGGTGCTGCAGGCCGAGAACGACCAGCTGGACAGACAGCTCGCCGAGATGGAGGCATATCAGGACAGAAAGTGGCAACTCGCCAAGGACCAAGGGTAAGTAAATGGGAAGAAACACAGACAGAGAGGGGAGGGGAGGGGGCGGTCATATTGGGTTGATATGTGTGTGTGTGTGTGTCACACCAGGTTGTTGTACATCAGTGGCGGTGACATTCGTGACACCGTGGACTATCGGGCCAAGACCATCGCGCTCGTCCATGCCCCCAAGGATGCGTCGGTGGCCGTCGTCTGCGACGCACTCCCAGACAACGCCGTCCAGGTACACACACGCGATACAAAACCACAGAGGGGCCCGTATGTTCGTCGCTCTTGTGTGTGTGTGTGTGTGTGTGTGTCAGGACATTCCTCGTTTCGTCCAGTTCAGCTCTCCGAGCGAGCGCATCCACATGACACACATCAGCGGCAAACAGTACAGGGTCCGCTAACAGTCATGGCTTCGTTCGTTCCCTCCTTGCTTCTGACTGATCGATCACATGTCCGATTCGATTCAGCTGGTGGTTCACGACCCTTCGCAGAGCAGCAGCAGCACCCCCTTTCCGCCCGGGATCTTCCCCTCGCCCATCGAGCACCTGTGCGCCATCCACGGCATCAACGCAACGCCATCACACAGGGGAGAATCGCCCATACCAGCCATGCACGAGGGGGGAGCCGCAGCGGCAGCGGCAGCGGCAGCGGAGTCGCCACTCGCGTCAATGCTGGCAGCAACAGGCAAGTGGGTGGAGGGGGGGACACACCAACGAAGGAACGGAAGCGACAGGCACACTGACTGTTGGTTGTGTTGTGTGGTGGCTGGCGTCTGGGACCAGGGTGTATTCGGCAGCCGACGGACACGCGAGTCAAGAGGGACAGAAGCAGGAGTGCAGCACGGGCAGAAGGTAAGTACGTGCGTATGTCAATCGGTGTCATTCGTCCATTCCGATCGCGTGATGAGTGTTGTTCTTCCTCTCTGCGTTGGGGTGGGTGGATTGGCGGATGACTGGCTGCAGCGATGGGCCTCCTCTCGGCGATCAAGGAGGAGGCAATGGATGACGATTATTATGATCAAAGTAGCTACTAGCCGAAAGATGTAGATCCCGCTTTGTTGTGTGTGCTTCGTCCGTCGAGAGAGCAGGGGTGCAGTGCAGGGGCCCCCCAGCCATTCATCCATCCATCCCCTCATGCGTGTGGCGAGCGGGTCAAGACATCCATGCACACAGGTGCACACGGCGATCCATCTGGCGAGTGGGCGGCGTGCATGTGTGTGTGTGTGTGTGTTTGTTCGTGCGGTTGGAGGGAGGGATTCACAGGTGTTCACGGACAGATGAATCGCTAAACCAATGAACGTTCCCATCGCACTCACTCACAGCTGCGCACACGTCTCGTGCAGCCGCCATCCATCCATCCATCCCCAACACGCACACAACCACAACCAGTGAGATGTGTCAGATTGGTCGGGCGTGCTCGTTGAGTGGCGCCGGAGAGAGACGTGCATGTCGCTGGGCGTGTACGCGTGCCAAATTACTGCAGATGTATGCATTCAATCATATAGTCCCATAGACGGTCCTTCGCCCCTCCCTCCCTCCCTCCCTCCCTCCGGCAAATTGACCCATCCATCATCCCTCCATCCCTCCATCTATCGGCCGGTCTACATGCATCTCCATATGTGACCGTCCATCGGCCGGTATGTCGAAATAATTCCATCCATCCATCCGGAGAGGCGCCTATCAGTGTGCCTGATTCTATGCTCTCTCTACCTATGCTACACCACACCCCCAAACACCCTCGGTCTCTCCCTCCCGTCCTTCATCGATTCTACTGCCCGTCGACGTCAGGTGCGGCCTCTCCAGCGATCTCTCGCACATACGCCGACGGCAAGTAGCCTGCAGGCACGCCGACACACACATGGTCATGGTAATGTGGTGGTTTGTTTGTGGCTTCGCTGCCTGCTTACCCATCGCAGCGGTGTCGTTGTTCCGGGCGAGAAACCAGCCGTTATCCGCCACGCTCAAAACGTCCTTGACACACACACACACACACACATACACACAGAAAGGCACAGCCAGACAGCAAGAGAGACAACAACCATCCATCCATCAGTTGGCACGACGACCGATGCCATCCATCCACGAATGCCCTTGTGTATTCTGTGCGCCGTACCCCCAGGTACCAGTATCTGCCCCTTTTCGATCTCGAGGCAGCTGTCGCCGGCGTAGTCTTCGCTCTGAGGCCCGTAGTCATACAGCACCTCACATCGGAACCTGACGAAGCCGTCGGCACCCGCCCCGCCACCTCCAGTGCCATGAGCGTTGGCCGACTCTACCACCGCCACTTGTTGCTGCTGCTGCTGGGCGTTGAGCTGCTCGGTGAGGGACTGGATGCTGGCCTGCATGGCCTCCTGCTCTCGCTGCTTCTCCTCCCTCAGCTGCTCGAGCTGACGCTGCAGCGCGTTGCGCTCCTCCTGGACCTCATGCAACCTGAAAACCACACACACCAACAAACAATGGCGATGGCGGCGTGAATCAGTCGGTTCTTGTCTCATGCTCGAACTCATGCTGTGCGGTGCAGTAGTCGCTGTGGTCTGCTTCCTGGCTGAGCTGACTGAGGAACTTACTTGGCCTGCAGCTCAAACACCTGGAGACTCAGACCCTGGGTGTGGTTCATTTGCGCCTGCACGTAGTCCTTCAGAGCGCCGAGCCGCGCAAACACTGGCCCCAAGCTGTCCAGCTGCGCCAGCACAGCTAATGCATCCGGTGCAGCCATCAGCGGCACCGGCACCGGTGCCGGTGCTGGCGGGCCCATGTGTACGCCGCCCGATGGGAGCGGTGGGAACCCCTCCGCCCCCGCCACGCCGTTGTGCTGCTGCATCATCGCATGGCCGCCACCACCGCCCTCTCCGGCGTGCTGCTGCTGCTGCTGCTGCTGATGCTCCTGGTGCTGGTGTGGCTGGGGCTGCATGGGCACCATGCTGGTCAAAGCACCTCCATCTGGCGCCCACATGGCCTCCCCTGCTGCTGCCGGGCGGGCCGATGGGTCATACGCGACCTGATGGTATGGTGCCCCGCCCACAGACATCATGCAGCAAAGGGTCAGATCTCGATTGATTACCCACAGTGTGGGCTGGGCTGGGCCTTGCCTTTTCACCCACCTACCTCATGTGCCAGCGATGAACTGCTGTTGACGTTGGCCTGCTCGTCCTGCTGCATCTGCACCTCTACCTGCAGCACCTCCACCTGCACCTCCCCCTCCCCCGCCCCAACGGCATGACTCGCCGCAGCCGAGCCGCCACCGTCACACGCCGTCGACATGCTGGACGAATTCGCATACGTCGGTCGGTTGTCCACAGCTGGCGGCGGCATGTTCGGCGGCCCCCCAACGCCCACGCCGCCATTGGGCTTCTCGGGAGGGCGCATCAGTGGCTTCGGGGGCAGCACCGGCACCTCCTCGGTGGTGGGCGTCAAGTGCTGGTCTGTGGTGGGCGGCGAGGGCCCGACTGGCTCGGGCACTGGGAGTGGCATCGAGGGCGGTGTGGGTGCGGGGACGGGAGGCGCCTCGTGGGATGGGGGGACGGACGGCCGGGCGGGGGGCGCCTTAGGGAGATGTGGCTTCTGCATGACCTGCGTGGCCTTGGCGTACTCTGCCGCACCTATCAAACTCTTCTGCACACACATAACATGACAAAGCATAACACGGCACAACGGGATACAGCGACGTCATCTATGGGCACGGTGGTGTGGTGTGGGCTACCAGATCCGCCAAGGTGAAGTTGCCGATTTTCATGTCGAGATCATAGGGCCGGATGTCCTTGACGCTGCAGACCTCGCGGCGCAAAAACAGCAAGGCAGGCCCGTAGACCCTCACCTCGGGCTTCAGCTGACACGAACGGCAAACCACACAGACAGACAGACAGACACGCACTCGTCAGGCACATAGGCTCCTGTCCCTATCTTATGTGCCTGAGTGGCGGGCCTATTTGCTGCCCGCCTGCCTACTTGGAGCTTTTGTTGTTTGATGGCCTCTACGACAACTTCTGTGGCAAACTTGTTAAGGGGCCCGCCGCGGTGGGTGTTGAAGACCAAGATGGGCAGGCGGTCCGACTCGCTGTCCGTATACCTGCACACACACATACACGCACACACGCAGCGGCCATCCTTCCCCTCCCGCTCCGCATTCGTGTGTGTGTAAGTGGGAAGGGTGGTGTGGTGCTGTCTGGTGTGGCGGGTGGTTGACTCACGCAGGGAATATGGTCAGTTCGATTTGCGATGGGGTCTTGCCCGACATGGTGCCAATTTGCAACGCGCAGGTCCTGCGCCACTCGTCCGGCCCATTCCGCGGCTGCAGCCACAACGAGAAGGAGGAACACACACATCCACCCTCGTCTACACATCCCTGAGCAAGTCCCTGAGCTGCAGGCACGCCTCTCTCGTGTGTTCCAGTCCTCACCCACCCACCTTGACAGAGGGCACTTTGGCAGATTGGAGATCCATCTTGCCCTGCACGGGTGGCACGTTCGGCTGCAGGACGACGTAGGAGATCGTTTTCGACATTCTGCAAATGCGCACAGCACACCTCACCCAGTCACTAACCGCAGCGCAGCCTTCACACAACCACCTGGTGCTGGGGGGACACTCCGGGACAAGGACACCGGCAAACAGCGATCGCTGGCAGCTCGCAAAAGCTCCGAGCTGATAGAGTCTTAGATCTGGCAGAACAAAGAACCGATGCAGCAGTACTGGAGGCCCGGGGAGCGTGCTCCACAGCTCCCATACGACAAGGAGATCGGCGGCTCAGAGGAGCCGCCAAGCGTCGTGTGGAATACAAACAAGAACCTCTCCCTCGATGAGCAGAGAAGACGCCTGCCCGTCTTCAGACACCGTAGGACGCACACACACACAGACAGACAGACAGACAGACATACAAGACATTGGCAGACAGATGCACGTGACGCTGTGCACTGCCAAACAGGTCTGTCCATCTTGTGGGCGCTGGAGAAACACCGCGTGGTCATCTTGGTGGGCCAGACGGGATGCGGCAAGTCCACACGTGAGCACACTCACAGAGAGAGAGATTGGCCGGCCACGTGTGCATCGCCATCCTCTGTGTGTGTGTGTCTGTCTGTCTGTGTGCGCCATGTATTGTCCGCAGAGGTGCCTCAGTACCTGTGCGAGGCTGGGTGGACGTCCCACGGGCGTCGCATAGGCGTGACGGTGCCCCGCCGCATCGCTGCCATGACAATTGCAAGCAGGGTGGCCCAGGAGATGGGCGTCAAGCTCGGCAGAGAGGTGCGTGGCCACCGTGCAGCCCAGCCCCCACACACCACACCCACTCACCCACTCACTACACGCCCACCGACCCAAGTGTCTGTCAGCCCAGCCACATGTTGGTTGCAAGCTATGTGTGTGGTGGTGTGGTGGCATGCCAGGTGGGCTATAGCATTCGGTTCGACGACCAGACGACTGCGGGGGTGACGCGGATCCAGTACATGACGGACGGGCTGCTGCTGCGGGAGATGATATCGGACCCCCTGCTGTCGGCCTACAGCCTCCTCATCGTCGATGACGCCCACGACCGCACAATACAGACGGACCTCCTCCTGGGCCTCCTCAAGAAGTCAGTGAGTGACACACCTCAAGAAGCTGACACTTGCCGGCACTATTGCAGCCATTCTGCCTGTGTGTATGTGTGTGTGTGTGTGTGTGTGTGTCAGGGTGATGAAGAAGAGGCAGCACCTCCGTCTGATCATCTCGTCGGCCACACTCGATGCTCAGGTGGACCCTGCAAACCCTCGACAAATGAATGCGCCATCCCTCCCACCCTCTCACCCTCCCTCCCTCCCTCTCTCGCTGTCTGTCTGTGTGTGTGTCAGGCCCTGAAGGCCTTCTTCACTGACAGCGCGGCAGACGCAGAGGACACCCCCGAGAAGCCGTCGAAATGGTCGTCTCGGTGGGACCAGCCGACCGGCTCCGCTGACTCGCGCAAAAGGAAGAGAGGCAGCGACAGGGGCATAGGGGGCGGGGGAGGGGGCGGTGGGTGCGTGGTGTTGTCCGTGGAGGGCCGCACCCACCCAGTGGAGGTCGAGTACCTCTCAGAGCCCTGCAAGGACTACGTCGAGGCCGCCGTCAAAACAGGTGCCTTCGTGGATGAGTGGGTGGATGGACGGATGCATCGACATGAGTGTGTCAATATGTGTGTGTTCCTGTGTGTGTGTGTGCAGTGATAGACATCCACGAGCATGAGAGGGACGGTGACGTGTTGGTGTTCCTCACTGGGCAGGAGGAGATCGAGGCCGCCGTCGATGCCATCAGGGAGGCCGCCCGGCACCTGAAGAACCGCACCCCACAGAGCCTACACGTCCACCCCCTATACGCAGGTAGGCTACCTACACACACACACATCCATCCATCCATCCATCGGTTGTCTGTGCACTTGTGTGCTGGTCATTGCTGGATGGATGGATCGATCGATCAGCCCTTCCTGCGGATCGTCAGCTGGCGGCCTTCGCCCCGCCGCCGCGGTCGGTGCGCAAGGTGGTTGTGAGCACCAACCTGTGCGAGGCCTCCGTCACCATCGACGGCATCGTCTTTGTCGTCGACCCTTGCTACGTCAAAGCCAAGGCCGCAGACGCTAACTCGGGCGTCAGCTACCTCGTCGTGGCTCCCACCTCACAGGCATCCGCCACACAACGTGCCGGCAGGGCCGGCCGCACACAGCCAGGTGAGCCCCTCCCCTCCCAAGACACACAGAGAGAGCCCAGATGAGCTCAATAATCTTTTTGTCTCCCTCCCTCTGTCTGTCTGTCTGTGTGTCGGACTTCCGTCAGGCAAGTGTTACCGGCTGCTGCGCGAGGCGGATTTCTCGCGTCTGCTGCCCCGGCAGACGGTGCCGGAGATCATGCGGACCGACCTGACGTCGGCCCTGCTCTACCTCAAGTGCCTGGGCATCGACAACCTCGTCAGCTTCGAATTCGTCAGCCCCCCCTCTCTAGCCGCATACACCAGGGCGCTCGAGAGCCTCTATGCCCTGGGCGCCCTCGACGACAAAGGCAAGCTGGTGGTGCCGCTGGGTGTGCGGATGGCCGAGCTGCCACTGACGCCCGAGGTGAATCGGATGCTGCTGCTGTCGACAGAGGAGGGGTATGGGTGTGCGGAGGAGGCGCTGATCATGGCTGCCATGACGTCGGTCAAGTCGCCGTGGATCGCCACGCGCAAGAAGGACTACCTGGAGCTGTGCAAGCTGAGCCTGGGGGTGGCTGAGGGGGACCTCCTGACCTACTTCAACATGTACCAGCAGTACTTCTTCCACACGTCAGAGGAATCCGACGACACGGGATGGGCCGGCAGGTCAGTCCATCCATCCATCCCTCCCTCCCTCCCTCCGCAGTGACCTTACCTTTTCTGTGTGCCGTGTGCTGCATGGCATGGGGTGTCTTTCTGGTGCGTTGGTGCGTGTGTTCCTATGTCACTCAGGCACATGGTGCACGGCCCGACCATCCTCCGCGCGCGGGACATCCGCAACCAGCTGGAGAAGCACCTGCGCCGATATAAACTCCCCATCGTAAGCATCGCATTTATCGCATGTGTCGACGGTTGGTGGTTGGCTGGCTCGCTGGTTCATTCTTTCTCTCTCTCTTGTCAGTCGAGTGGTGGCCAGGACACGCCGAGGATCGCCCGGCTGGTGGCGGCCTCGCTGTTCATCAATGCGGCGCAGAACCAGGGCAACGGCAAATACGTCCTCTGCAGAAGGTAAGCTCCCATAGACTCACACACATAAAGGATGATGGAACACGTGTGTGTGGTTGTGTGTGTGTGTGTTGATAGTCCGCTGTCCTCCCCCGTCATGTCGATTCACCCCTCGTCCGTGCTCGTGTCCGCGCAGCCGCCGTGGGTGGTCTTCCAAGAGGTCAGCAGCGCCGCCAGTGACCATTATTCCCATGCATTCACACGTACACACACATCGCTCTCTCTCTCTCTCTCTCTGATGCTTGCGTGCGTGGGTGTGCGTGTGTGTGTGGTGGATGCAGGCGGTGTTCAGTGGGGACACCCCGTACATGCAGGGCGTCACGGCCATCGACCCGCGGTCAGTCAAACAACCAACCAATCGGCCGGCCAGCCAGCCCCAGAGCCTTGTCTGTCTGTCTGTCTGTCTGTGTTTATGCGCGTGTAGGTGGCTGTCGGCCGTCGCGCCACATTACTTCCACATGAATCTGCAGCGGGACGGCCGGTGAGACGTTCATGTTGTGCGTGTGGGTGTGTGGGTGTGATGGGATACATGGCCGGCCGGCCTTTTGCGGAGAGGATTTGTGCATACTCGATGAATGAAGGCATTCATTCAGTGTCACACACAGCGCGTCAGACACTCAGTGCCCATGCAATTCGCCAAGAGGCTCAGTGGCCATTGTCTGTCTGCACACACACACACACGCCAGCTGTCTGTCAGTTGGGGATCATCTATCGGATGCTTGTCGTCCAGGCCAAAGCCTGCACGCAAGTGCCAGTGGTACTGAAAGGTCGGATAGTGCGCCGTCCGGCTACCGATTCGCGGTGTAGTGAGCGATGCCACGTTGCCAGGCCGACTTGTTTACGTATTTCTTTTTGCACAACCCCAACCAGTTTTCTTTCGTTAATGGCAAATGCGTTGTGGAACTCATACATACGTGTGTGAGTGTCTGAGTGTCTGAGTGGCTGGCTGGCTGGCAGTGTCTCATTCATTAATGACTGACTGAGTGCATGGCATGCTTCTGGCGGGCGGGGTGGACGGATGGCTGGATGGTGGACAAGACAGAAGAAAGGTAGATGGAGCGGAAGGAACGAACGCAGACGCACACAGACAGACAGACAGACACAGATACTCTCAAGCAATGCAATCAATCAGTGGTTGGCGCCACATGGATATACATATCATCCTCCGGCAGCAGCACCACAACGGACGCTCGCTGCACGCTTCAGGCACTCTACCCACGTCCATGTCACACCGCCACTGCCGCAGCGCTGTCACTCATCAAAAACTCTACCAATGACGGACGGACGCATTTGTGTTTGTACGTAGAGAGCTCAACGCCCATCCCGTCAATACGGCGATGTGGTGATCGTACAGCTGCCGCGTGCGCGTGAGACGTCTTCATGCGTCAGGGTGGACGAGTGTGTGTGTCTGTGGTTCGTCGGATGGGTGGACGCCCTCATCTTAATGAAAGCAATCAGTGGGTGGATGGGGCAGGTGTCGCGTCACGTCAGAAAGCCAGTCCCACCCTTCACGGCCACACGCACCACAGGATATTTATGGTCATCAACAGCGGACGCACCCATGTGGAACTCACACCATATCTACACCCATGTAAATCACCATGTTCTTCACAGAGTAACACGCCGGGAAGGACAAATGCCGCAATTGATGCACAGCCGCCCCTCTGCCTCTCTCCCTGGACAGCCGGGCCCGCATGCCTGTAGTCACACACACACACACGTGACCACGTCTGTATGTCTTCAGTCCGTCCACTGCTTGTTATTCATATTCGCTCGTCGCTCACTTTCTAGCCTGAGTCCATTGTAGGTGTGCATGGCTTTTGCCGACACTTCGCGCAAAGGGCTCTCAGCCAACCTACACACACACACACACAGAGAGAGAGAGAGAGAGCACAACGACCTGAGTCATGGATGCGTGGCGGCTTGCTGGCGACGATGGGTTCACACCTGGCGAGTGTCTGCAGCTGTTCTGTGTGGGTGCACAGGCGGGCGGCAAGGTGCTGGTGTGCGGTGAAGCAGCACGTGCACACCAGACAAGACGACCCTGTGGCCAGACCCAGGTCGATCAAGCCGTCGCTCAGACCTGATAGATTAGATCAGGAAAGAGGGCCTGGATGGATGGATGGATGTGCCTCATGTGTATGACTGACGAGTGTGCGCACCTCCACAGGCATGTAGGCCGATGATGAGCGTGGCAGTCAGAGGGGCGCAGGGGAGGCACCTGACGAAGTGCACAGAGCCATCCATTTCATGTGCTTCCCGCAGTCACACGTGACATACATACTTGAGGTGCGCCGCGAAGGCGTCCAGATCCATGTCGTAGACGCTCAAGTTGCCGACGCCCTGACCACCCACACACCCCACGCACCACCAACCCCCCTCTCACTCTCAAGCCGCTTCTCTCTCTCTGTCTGTCTGTCTGTCTGTCTCTGTCTCTCTCTGTCTCACTCACCAGCTGCTGTGCCCCAGTCATGGCCGCCTTTCTCGACGGCTCGTGTGGCTCCGTCATCAACACGTCCACATCAGGGAAGGCCACTGCACACGCCAAGGAGAGGTCTCCACGCCCCCCACCGATGTCAATCAGCCGGGCCGGTCGGCGTGGCGCACTGGACTGATGCTGTCGTAGCCACTCTTGCACTCGCTTGACCATCCACTGCACCTGACCGATTATGGTGTCGACAAGCACACAACGCAGTGCGTCGACGAACCTGCCTCGCGTCGTCTTGCCTTGGCTGTCTGTCTACCTGCGGGGCTTTCTTCTCGTCTGCATACCGCAGGCGCCGCTCTCTCTGCCCATCTGCCGTCCCAACACTAGAATTTTCTTCTCGTTCTTCCGTCTGCTGATGCCCATATGCCCCACCGCTTCCCTCTCCCCCGTCTGAAGAATCGTTGTGGCGCCAGAGCTGCCGCAGCAAGTTGACTCTAGGGTGCACCTCACACGGGAGGCCGCCATGGGTATCGCCCTCGTCAAAAGAGAAGATATCGGTTCGCTCCTCCAGGGGCCACTTGTCGCGAAGAGGGGCCAGCTGCATACATACACGACACTCACAACATGGGCCCACAAAGTTCAAAGGAGAGGTTTCATTTCTCGCTCCCTCACCTGTTCGAGCAGTGCGAGGTCTCGTTCGTCATGTTTGATGGGCCTGATGGGCACCTCAGGTAGGCCTGCCAGCCTCCTCGCCAGCCGCGTGACGCGCTGCTTCCTGGCAGAGGCATTGCCATGGTCTTCATGGCCGTCTGCTGCAGACGGCAGCAGAGATGCCAGCTGGGAAGCTGGGATGCCCAACGCCCTGAGGCCATCCGATAGCAGCAAGACAACAAGGTCATGTGGCTACGGGGGTGAGAGTGTGTGTGGGTGTGTTTCCTTACGCGGCAGTCCATGTGCGAGGGAACCGGCCATTCCGGCAGTCGGCAAGCAGCCGATCAACCGCAAAGAAGGATGGCTCAACCTGAGAACATACATATTCGATGCACACTCGACGGACAGACAGACAGACACGTGGGCCGACACACCCGCCCCACGCACCTTGATCATCCGGATGTGCGTTGCCTCGACGGACAGCTGCCCGGTCCGCGTGCGCATGGGCTGTCCGATGAACAGCGCATGTGTGTTTGGCGAAAGATTGGACACCCAACACGCGAAGGATGGACGCCCCTCCTCTGCCACAAACCCATGCCGAGAAAGCACCACCTGAGAACACGCTGACACACCATTCGTCGTAGGGATCTCTCTGTCTGTCTGGTCAGACAAGGGCATGGTCACCTGAATGACCTGTCCGTCCTGCCCTTGCTCAGCACCGCTTCCATCTTCCTCTTTGCCAGCATCGCGACTGTGTTGGATATCGACGTCGAGGAAGGTGAGGCGGCCCTTACCATGAATCCTCCTCGTCCGCACCTTGCCCTCGACTGACACTCGCACAATTACCTGGGGCTCAGAAGGGATGAACGAAGGCGGGATGGAGGGGAAAGCATCATAGAGGCCATCCTCCCGCATGCTTCGGATCTGGCAGCAGGACCTCCACCAGCAGCGGTTTCAGGGAGCACCCTAGGCGCCTCCACCCTCTGCGAGCTCGCAACACCAGTTCTGGCCCATGGGCAAGCTACCCACATGAAGATAAAAACGTCACGGATTGTGCTCGTCTGTATGGGCGTGCGTGTTGTCCATGCTGCCGTCGCTACGCCTGCTGTTTGCCTTCATCCCGACAAAAACGGCAACGGCCATTTGTACAGCCCGTGTAACCTGACCTCGCAAGACCTCCCACGCGATGTATAATCTGTATGCGGCTGTGCTGCTGGCCCTTTCCTCTGTTGGCCTGGTCAGCGGTGGCTGCATCGACCGAGACCCCGCCGAGTGGCCGGTGCACGACATATCGGAGCTGCGGAAGAGATCAGAGAAGGAGCTGTCCGCCATATTCGCAAAAGGCACGCGCACGTGACGCCCACACACACCGACCAACAAACCGCCAGCCAGCCAGCCAGCCATCCGTCCGCGCGTGTGTGTGTGCAGGTTGTGTGGAGGATGAGAGTTTTATGTTGGGGACCAAGTACTTCGAGATGATCTGGGTGGACCTGCCGGAGCCCTTCCGGTCGGCCTACACGGGGCTGTTCAACCTGGCCTGGCAGGGCTTCTTCGTACAGAAGACTGTCTGCAAAGGTGAAGACCTCTACTTCTACTTCGTCCTCCTCAACCCGTTCGACGGCGGCAAGGTGTGTAACCGTGCGAAGCGAAGCGAAGCAACACGACGAGGGCGACGCGGGCGGCATGTTTGTGTGTGTGCCATGCAGATATTTGGTAGCCAGTATGGCTGGTTCACTGCGAAGCTGACGAAGGGTCAGCTGCCGGACGAAAAGCAGCGGATCGATGACGCTCCTTCTTACCTGTTCGACTACCGCATCACCAAGGAGGAGTGCCCAGACCAAGTCTCGCCATTCGGCCGGCTGGTCCGTGCATGAGACCCACACACAGACACACACACACACACACGCACACAGAGGCAGAGAGAGAGATATATATAGAGCAGTGTGTGCCGTGTCTTGATTGGTGGATGTGTGTGTGCAGAAGTACCCCTTCGACAACCCTCCAATCCTCAACACGGTGTTGGACGAGGGGCGGATCGTGGGCATCGACAAGGAGAACAGGCCCATCATACTCATCCGCATATTCTTCGAAGTCATGCCCGGCAAGTTCGTCCTGTGGGAACACGGCCTCATGCTCGGCAACCCTCTCGACGGTGGCACCGCCTGACTGACCCTACTGACCAATTGATGCCTGGATGGATACATGGATGAGTGCACTGCAGTGCAATGCAGTGCAGTGCAGTGCAAAGCAGGAAATGCTATTTTGAGGCTTGTTTTAGCCATTGAAAACACGTTTAGACCCTCTTTACTTAGCTGACACTTGACCAACACGGTCGATGCAGCTGCTCGTGCAGGGTGGTGCTGAGGGGGTGGTGCGTGGGAGTGGCAGTGACTACGTGAGACGACAGACGGGGATGACATTCATGGATGCATCACATGGGGCCAACCGGTCTGTTGTGTGCACACGCAGATGATCTCTCTCTCTGTCTGGTCAGACAAGGGCATGGTCACCTGAATGATCTGTCCGTCCTGCCCTTGCTCAGCACCGCTTCCATCTTGCTCTTTGCCAGCATCGCGACTGTGTTGGATATCGACGTCGAGGATTTTTTTTTATTTTTTTCTTTTTTTTTTAAGGAGAGATAATTGACAGATGGCATCCATGCACTCGCTTGTCCAAATCGCCTCCATGAATCTATCCACATATGCCTATGCACAAAGGGCACGCTCACTCATCCGATGAGAACACCCTAGCCCCGTCCATCACCCCAACACCACGCCATGACTGCCTCCCGCCCCTCAAACACAGGCTAGC